GGAGTTGTACAAAAGGTTGACAGAGGAGGACTTTGCTATATGGTTTTTAGTTGAGGAGGACAGTAAGATGACCTCTCAGGTCTTTGAATGTGGGACAGACCCAAAAAAGAAGCTCAGCACATTGAACCAATGAAAAAGGAATGTTTTCAGTCTCAAAAGTCTAGCTTCAAAAGTTCCAGTTTCAAAAGTTTACATCAGCTTTATTTAAGAAAACAAATCACAGCTTGATCTACTGAGAAATTGGTGTGAAAGAGGTATTCATAACCATAACCACTTCCACAAGGCTGCATCTTTCATCAGCTCCTGCAAAAAGTAATTCATCCAAATAAAATATTTTTCATAAACAGTGTTAAACACACGTGGATATCAAATGAAAATTTGATGTGGCTGGGTTATAACTAAATAGCTTTGTGACACTCTTTGTCCTGGGGTGACAGGCTGACATGTTTACAAAGACCATTTGAGCCAGGTATTGGAGTATCTATCACTGGTGCTCTGCTGCTCTAACTCAATGTGAAACAGAACAGCACCTCAAGAGAAGAAAATTGGAGAAGAAAGGGGAAATTGTAAAAAAAGGCATTTAAAGAAAAAATAGTTGCACATTGCATACACATTCTGAACATGACCAGTTAAACGACTATAATTACAAATTACCGATCATAACTGCATAGTTAGAGTTTTACAGTAAATCCTGTGAAGTGCTTTGAGACGTGAAAGGTGCTGTATTACATGCAAAGATTATTTTTACTACCAAAAATACAGTAAACCAAATATTGAGTTTATCATATCTGTTCATCACCAAACAGGATTACACACTCATCATTTTCTGTGGAACTAAAGGAGAGAAGGATTAAAGAAGGACTGAGTCAATCAACAACAACAAGATTACATTTGTATAGCGCCTCTCATGTCGCCTCTCATGTCGGGAGGACGTCCCAAGGTGTGTACAGCATTTCAGACCCGAGCTGGGGTCAGTGGGTGAGAAGGGAGGGAATGGGGGTGACCGATGGCATGGTCGAAGAGGAGGGTCTTGAGGTGGGACTTGAAGGAGGCTAAAGAGGGGGCGAAGCGGAGTGATTGGGGGATGGAATTCCAGAGGTAGGGGGCAGATTGGCTGAAGGCTCTCCCACCAATGGGGGGGGGGCGGGTGGGTTGGGGGACGTGGAGCAGACCGGAGCTGATGTACAGCACTGTTCCATCAAGTTAAGAAGAGGTTTTTGACAAATGTTTCAAATGAGCTTGGTAGCGGTGGGAGAAGAGATCCAGCCGTGAAACACTGACAAAGGCACAAACAATGATTATGAGAATTTAGTGTGAAAGAGGCATTCAAAACCGTAACATTTTTGTTCCTGTCCTATTTTTATGAGATTTGTTGACACTTACCCTTGCTTAAATACATTTTAATAGTTCCTGTTATAGATTGCATGAAAAGGTATTACTGCCTAAATAATACAAGATTGTAACAAGATGAATAAATGGTTGTTTAAACCTCCAGTGTGAATGAATCCCATATCTCACGTGGTTGTAATTGGAAGCCAACAGGGTCTATCACCTGGTCAGTGGAACTGGAGGTCTTTTCATCAAGTGTTTGTATTATAAAATAATCACCATCAACACCTATGATGAAATGATCCCTAGTATTAACAACCATGGCAATGGCAGGTTTCATCTAGTGATGGCCAGAGGCTTTCCCAAAGGAGAAAGAGTTCAGACATCGAGTGCACATCACAAGACCACAAGATTGGTTTGTTTGAAGAAGGCCCATCTGAACTCATCCTTCCTGAAAATCCACCTTACCATTCTCCCATCACAGATTCAAACTGCTTTCTAAATGAGTCCAGAGGTCCTGGCTCAAGGCTCAATCCCAGTTGCTGGCCATGTGTATCAGGTTGGCTCAAGTGATAGTGCTCTTGCCTCTGAGTCAGGAGATTGAGGGTTCAAGCCCCAGGGCGGATCTTGATACCCATATGGTCTAAGCTGACACTCTAATGCAATGCTGGGGGGTGTGCTGCACAGTCAGAGTTGCCGTCCTTCGGATGAAACGTTAAAGCAATCCCCCATCTGCCTGTTTAGGTGGATGTTAAAGGTTCCATGGCACAACTAAAAAAGATAAGACTGTTCCTCCCGGTGTCCTGGCTAACAATCCCCCAAGATAGAACTGGTCATTCACTTCAAGGCTGTTTGTGAAACATTGCAGTTTGCAATTTGTTGTCTCATTCATCCACAAAATACAGCCACTTCACTTTATGATATATCCTGTGAAGAGCTTTGGAACGTCTTCCTGATGTGAAAGGCACTTTACCAAATCTAAAGATTATTATTATTATATTGACCTTTTCCAGTGTTAATTATACTGCTCTCCTCTATACCGACTCTAGGGCCTCAACAGCCCTGATGTTGCGGTGACCAGGACTGTATACAGTACTCTGGAATTGGGCTGACCATAGTACTATTCAAACTGAGCATGGCTTCAATCTACGACAGACCTTGGAGGTGCAGGCAAGACCCCAAGTGAAAGACCTAACCAGCAAAAAAGTTGCAGCTGAACAACTGAACGGTTACCATCATCTTTTTTAATGAGTGGAAATGCCTTTGAACCTTTTCATTTCTTCATTGATATGACTTATTAAACAGCAAGAACGTTACCTGTTGTCCAGGTGAAGTGGCATGGATTCAAGGCCAATGATTTGACAGGAGGGTTCAAAGTTGGAGAGTTCATATAAATGCATTTCTCGATCACTAGGCAGAAAATATTAATAATAATAGTGATATTATTCATTTTGGATATAAAGTAAATTGCTGATAACGGGACCCTGGCTTGTCACTACCACTTAAGTAGCTATGCTGTCAATATCCCGGCTGCTTCCTATGCAAAATGTTAATAACGGACTCAATTTTACTTGTCACTCTGCTTAAAATATAACTTGTCACATCCTAGAAATTCTTGTAAGAACTTACTTCAGATAACTGGTCCGATAATACGACATTCTGTATCGCAGAGATTCCTTGCCCTATCCCTTGACTGGTGTGGACACTTGGTGCAGCCCTCCAATAGACCAGAGGCCTCTGTGATGCATCTGAGAATGTGTGCCCAATCTCTGCCGAGTGCCCTAACTAGTCACACTGCTCCCTTGCGGCCCGGGGGACATAACAAGCCACTCCAAATAATTTGTCGCTGAGCGCTTTTCCCTTGAAGTGAAGAGTTATCAGGAGTTTACTATATATAAATAGTATTTTCCTTGAAGGATATTGCTAATATTGCTAAGTGTGGTCTAGTGAGTGTTTCAGGGGAAATTAAACAGGCATAGTGGCATCCCTAAAATATACAAACTTTGGTGGTGGATCGGTCAAGAATGCAGAATGCTCCATAAATTAAACAATATATATAATGCAATATAATAAAAATATATATTGTGCGTTTAGGGAAAACACAGAGACACACAGACACTCACAAACACATTTGGTTTGTAATGGTTACATGTTTACATAAATGTCTATACATGTAGATGCTTGCACGTACTTTGGACAATGGAATTATTTGTTCAATCGGTATTAAAGCCACATTTAAATGTTTTTAAAATTGTGAGCTATGGCAATTTATTGATGTTATTTATTTTATGCTTTATAAAACACATCAAGAATTATGTACATTTTTACCTTATTCTTATTGAATAACTTTATACTTTTTTTTGATAATTTAAGCAATTTTTTTGAATTTTAAAAATATTTTTGCATATGCATTTTGTGAATGAATGTTTTTTTATATATTAATATGCTTAAGTTCAGCAGAAGTTAATTTCTTCCAAAAAATATACATTATGTACAAAAGTTCTATCTCATTGGTTTTTTTTGGTGGGGGAAGTGAAATTCATCAAGGCATGTGCTGGCAATGCTGGGGAATAGAACTGGTTTCCATTTCACATCCCAGTTCCTGACAGGCAAATCCACATCAGGTGCTGCATGTGACATGGCCAGAATACTCAGCCCAAACACAAAGGTCTTCAAAAGGGGAAAAAAACATTTTGGAGGTTTAAATTTAAAATATAAAAAGCACCTGCCCAAAACCAATTTGTACTGGCACTGTGACAAAAACACACCCAATTTGGTGTGAACCCATCCAAACTTGGGACGCTACCATACTTGAGGGGCACTACATAAATGCACGTTGTTGTTGTTGAAAGCAATCCACCAATCAACTAACAACCAGGTTCCTTGTTTGTGAGTGCCCTGACCTGGGTAGGACAAATTTGAAAGTCTGCAACAAAAAGAAAATTACATTTGTATAGAGCCTTTCACATCGGGAGGACCTTCCAAGGCGCTGGACAGTCAAGAGTTTCGGACCTGAGCTTGGGATCGGGAAGGTCGATGGCAGGGGAGAAAGCAGGGTGATCGACGGCACGGTTGAAGAGGAAGGTCTTGAGATGGGCTTGAAGCCAGCGAGGGAGGGGGCGAGGTGGAGGGACTGCAGAATGGAGTTCCAGAGGGTGGGGCAGAATGGCAGAAGGCCCACCCACCGATGAAGCCGGCCGGAATCCGCTGAGCGGAGGGAGAGAATAGGATTGTTAAGGGGTTAGGAGGTCGCAGAGGTAGAGGGCTATGGGGAGAGAGTGCGGGAGTGCGATTAATTTGGACAGCTCTTTCAAAGAACGCGGGTGCGGCCACGGGCACGGCCATGGGCGCGGTGGGTCAAATGGCCTCCTTCTGTGCTGTATAATTCTATGAATTTATGAACCCTGACCAACACTGAGCAGTCAGTGGTGCCCGGAAGTGGCCACCCGTGTGTCCACAATAAAAACTCGCCTTTAAACATCTTCATCTGGGATAGGATGCGTCTGTGCGCTTTTTAAACAAAAACAAAGCTTCTAACAATGACACCTTTTTTTAAGGGAAGAATTGACGTTCTGACACTTTTTTTTACCCCAAGTACTGTGACGACGTACAGCGATGTGCTCTCCTCTCTTCCCCACGCCCTGCGTGCCGGACGCAATGACGTCGGGGCAGCCTCGCTGTGGGTGTAACGGGCGGCTTTTTCAAACATGGCAACGTTCGGCAGAGGCGTCCGCGACTCAAACGGGCGACTGTGGCGGCGACTGCAGCGCGAGGAGGAGGAGGAGGAGCAGTGGTGAGTCTGCGCCGCCCCGACCCGACCCAGGGCCTCGGCCCTGACATGGCGGCGGCCGAAGGCGTCAGCATCGGCGACAAGATCAAGGTAAACAACAAGCTGCCGCGCTCCACAACGGTGGAGGGGGGAGTGGCGCTTATCACAGCCACCACAGGCCCTCACTATCAAGGAACCTGGTTGGTAGTCAATTGGCGGATCGCTTTCAACAACAACAACAACAACTCACATTTATACAATGCCCCTCACCCCCGGCAGTGTCCAGGGTATTTGGGAGTATTTCCCGGGGTAAGAATCCCTAAAACAATAATAATTTGGTCACTCAATCCGCGTCATATCTGCCCACCACTTCTCCTCCCTCCCCATCATGTGCAGTGTTCCTGAGGGCTCTGTCCTTGGTCCTCTCTTTAGTATCTCCCGCTCAGCCATGTCATTTCCAGGCAGAGGTTAACTTTCACATGTAAGCAGATAACACCCAACTCCATCTCTGCCTCCAGCCCCACCACTGCTGTCCTGGCGGATTGCCTGTTGGACAACAAATCCTGCATGAGAGCTAATTTTCTCCAGTTGAATGTCAACAAGGCACAGGCCTACCTGCTTGCTTCCTATCAGCACCTTCTCCCAGTGCCTTGGGACGTCCTCTTGATGTAAAAGGCACTTTATGAATATAGTTTTGTGTTTTGTATTCTCACCTCAGGTGTTGACTGCATCATTCTATAATAACACAAGCTGTAATGCACACTCTACGTCATGGAGCCAGTGCGGAAACTTGGTTTCTTGTTTGACTCTAAACTGTCCTTTAAATCTCATATCCGTGCCTTGACCCATTCCAGCTTTCCCTAACCTCTGCAAGATTGCCCGCCTCCAGCAATTTCTCTTCCCCTTGGGCCGCTGAAATCTTTATCCAAGCTTTTATCATGTCCAGGCTACAATTCAGCACCAAACTTCCCAGCTCTTCCCTCCATAAGCTTCAGAGCATCCTGAACTCTGCATCTTATTTTGTCTCCCACACCAAGCTCGATGAGCCTATCAGCCCCTTCCTTATCCATTTCAACTGGCTCCCCATCCCTCAGAGGATCATGTTCAAGATCCTCGCTTTTAAATCCCTCCACGGTCTTGCCCCACCCTACTACCTCCATGCCCCTCTTAAAAACGCTACCAACCTACCCACTCCCTCCACATGACAGGCAACCAATTGCGCAGTGTCCTACAAACAGTTGTGGATGAGTGACCACATTTTTAAAAATATTAAATTTAATGAGATTATTACCCCTGGAAAGCTATCCGCCAATCGACTAACAACCAGGTTCATACTTACTACTAGGTAAACTGAGGCATATGGAGTAAGGAAATGTGCCTAAGGTTTTGCCCTGTCCAGGGATTGAACCCGGGTACTCTCGCTTGCGAGACGAATGCTCTAACCAATACATTACAGGACTGCAAGAGTTTAATGCAAGTGCCTGACTTTATATATCTAAACTACTGTTATAACAAGGTCACTCTGCAGTTTATTTTCCTAACTGAAATCTATTAGCTCTATTCTATGATGAAATGTTGGTCAGTCTCCGTTGGTGAATGTACTGTTGGTGAATTGGGAAAGGAAGAGGAAAGCTGAAGTGTTTCAGAGTGGCAGAAAGTAACAGTAAAATCTTTCATTTATAATTGTGATCTTCAAGAAATTCATTACAAATTTGAAATGCTGATAATTCGTATAGAAACTTTATGAAACCATGACAAAGACTGCCATGGCCTAATTTGCGGAGTCAATGTGCTGGTTTCAACAATAAAGTACTTGGTGCACAAGTAATATACAATATAATATACTATTTTGGTAGATACACAGCAAAGTCAGATCCACTTGTTAAAACTGCCCTGTTACCATTAAAGTCTGTAGTGGTCTTACAAAAGATTAGCATGAAAAATGCAATTGCTTTGTGATTTAAAAGTCCATTGAAATCTATTATTCCTACACATTGCATGCTGAATTTTAACAAGAAGTTTGTCATCAAGTTTGGATAAACTTATTAATCATTGCCTTGTAGGAAATAATAATAATAATCCTTGCATTTGATTATTTTATTATAGCGCCTTATCATGTCTTCAGTATGTCTCAAAGTGCTTCACAGAATATACTGTAAAGTGTAGTAACTGTATATTTTTTGGGCAAATGCAACAGCCAATTAAGCACAGCAATAATACAATAATAATACAAGAAATGTCCCTATAGTTTTTATATTTGAGAATTCATTTCAAAATGTATTTAACTGGCCACCTAATTGGGTCGGTTATCTTGGATAGATGCATAAAACCTGATGGTGCTAGCTCACAAACACAGCAATGGGAGGTCAGCCTCCTCTGCTAGATGTAATTCTTCAGTTGGT